CAGAACCTCAGACAGAACCACAGAACCTCAGACAGAACCACAGAACCTCAGACAGAACCACAGAGTTTCAGCTTTAAAGAAAAAACAGCAGAACTGGACCTCAGTCGGTTCTGTTCAGGATTCTGATGTAACTTTCAGAGTTGGACTGAAACTCAGCTTTGTGTGTGTGTGTGTGTGTGTGTGTGTGTGTGTGTGTGTGTGTGTGTGTGTGTGTGTGTGTGCATCCATCAATCTTCTGTTTCCTCAGGGTTACCGTGGCAACAGCAGCTGACACACAAAACATCCATTGATATTTTTTATTTAAATTAATTTAATATTTCAGTTGAAAATTAAATGAATCATAAAGAACAGGTTTTTATTTGTTTTAATTTTGGTTTATCTGATGAATCAGAGTTTCAGACGTTTAGTTCAAAGTTTAAATCAAACATTTAGTTTGATCTTTTTATAAACGACTCAGTTTAAAGAATCAAAGATTTTCGTTGATGCAGCTTCATGCAGACTGGATGGAAGCAGAACAGAATAGATTTTTATTGTCATCGTAACAAGTACAATGAAATGAGGTGTTTTGTCAAGTCCAACATTAGCATCTGATGCTAACAGTGCTACATCTACATTAGCATTTGATGCTAACAGTGCTACACCAGAAACAGATATTAGCATCTGACACTAACAGTGGTACACCTGCATTAGCATTTGATGCTAACAGCGCTACACCAGAAAAACCAACATCAGCATCTGATGCTAACAGTGGTACTGTACACCAGAAACAGATTTTAGCATCTGATGCTAACAGTGGTACACCAACATTAGCATCTGATGCTAACAGTTGTACACCATCATCTGATGCTAACAGTTGTACACCATCATCTGATGCTAACAGTTGTACACCATCATCTGATGCTAACAGTGGAACCAGCATGATAGTTTCAGACTTCAGTTTGTTTCTACTTTCAGTYGTTTCAGAAGTGATGTTCTGATCATGAGTAGACAGGAAGATCAATGGAAACACAGGACTGAACAATCTGAGCTGATAATAATTTAATCAGTCACTGAACAGCTTCAGCTAACACACGCTAACATGCTAGCATGTAGTAAACACAGCGTGCTGAGTGTGACGTCACAGCCGTGGAACTGTTGGAGTCTGATGGAGGTCACCTTTAAATTAGAACATCAAGGATCAGACTGTTTTATTTTCTCTTCCTGTTCAGAGGAGAAACCATCTGAGAGCAAAATATTTCTGTCCAGTTTCTGCTTTCATCAGGAAACCAGTTAAAACCAGTTAAAACCAGTTAAAACCAGTTAACAGGTTTTACTCCTAAAAACAAGAATAACTTCAGATTGTTCCTCTGAACCTGCAGACAGTCAGGTTATCTGATCCAGACGAGCTGTGTGTGTGTGTGTGTGTGTGTGTGTGTGTGTGTGTGTGTGTGTGTGTGTGTGTGTGTGTGTGTGTGTGATTATTAGCTTTATAACTTCCAGAGGAGCTGATTCAGACTCCCGCAGCATTTTTCAGCTGCAGCTAATTAATGTTGAAACAGAGAATTATCTGCTTCAACGTTATTCAGAGAAGACCGTTAACTGCTATGTGTGTGTGTGTGTGTGTGTGTGTGTGTGTGTGTGTGTGTGTGTCTCTGACACTCAGCTGAACCGCTGCGATTCAAGCAGCAGATTATCAGGATTTTCTAATTATCAGAGAGTAATTAAGACTCAGCGGAGGATTAACGGAACTGAAACAATAAAACTCTCCGACACAAAGAGTTCATCAGGACGTCCGTCTGTTTCCGCGGGCCTGGTGGTTCTGACGGGTCCAGAGTGATTTCAGACTGAAAGTGTTGACGCTTCATTTAAGAGTCAAAACAGGAACCGTACGAGTTYCTAAATGAGCCACGGAGCGAGGTAAAGTGTCCTAATTATAGATAGAAACTAAAGACAGAACCTCTGGTTGTGTTTAAGAACTCAAACTGGTCCAGGGAAGCAGGTCCAGTTTGTCAGGAGTACTGTGTCCTGAATCTAATCCTGCGTCAGTAAATCTGTACGTCTGTTTGTCTGCAGCTCATCTGTCCACCAGCCTCAGGATTACCACCACCTTCATCTTAATCCAGACTACAGACCAAAACTGGACCACCCACAGACTTAAACATGATCCTCAGCAGGACTCAAGCTCCATGTTCAGGACAACTTTTCTACAACCAGACATGAGTCAGCAACTCTTCCAGAGCAACTTCAACAGCAATAAGAGAAACAACCAAACTGACAACAGCAACGACAACCAGAACTGATTCACCAACAACGGAACTGATTCACCAACAACAGAACTGATTCACCAACAACAGAACTGATTCACCAACAACAGAACTGATTCACCAACAACAGAACTGATTCACCAACAACAGAACTGATTCACCACCAACGGAACTGATTCACCAACAACCGAGCTGATTCACCAACAACCGAGCTGATTCACCAACAACCGAGCTGATTCACCAACAACCG